TCACTCCCCTCATTCATGTCATGAACCCAGTGATCTTTCAGCAATACATTATATCTCAATAGCCATTTTCAGCTCTCACTTTCTACTAATACAAAAACTAAACTAAAATATATGAAATATTAACAATGGACAGTTCAGCTCTTAGGTTCTATTTCCCATTTCCTTACTGTTGTCTCATCCTCCCCAACAGACCATTCCAAGAGCTGAGAATACTACTAATCATTAAAAATAATCACATAAAGATTAATAAAATGCCCCAGGTACTCAGGTATGCAAGCTTAGAACTGAGCCTTATATTATAGCTTTAATATACAATTCTTGGAGATTAATACACAATTTCAGAACACATCGATTCACCTGCTTGCTAGAAAGCCCTGTAATAAGGAAAGATGCATGTACAATAAAAGCCATTTTCAAAACTCTGTAAGGAATGTGTAATTTATGAATGAACAGAAAAATGTTTGGAGGGTAGTACATTCATAAACAATGCTCAGCAAGGTTTAGTCCTCGAAGATGGGGAAAGCTCTAATCCAATCCAGAAAAACACTTAAGCACATAGTTAAAGTCAGCTATCTCAGTATTTCCACAGATTTGAATGGGATTGTTAATGGATTCAAAATTAAGCATGCATTTATCGGTAACTGTTGGATTGGGCTAGAGTGGTAAGCGCTTTATAAGAGCGATTCCTCTCTCTCTTATACACACACAACTGAATCTAAAAATAGTTTACAACCATTTCAACCTCTCTTCTTGTCATAGTTTTCTTCCAGATTCTATATCAATGGGTTTCAGCCTTTTTGGACTCAAGGCACCACTCCATATCTTTTGTGCATTCAAAGGCACCCAATTTCAAAAACTAAATGATCTACTATGGTGCCTACTTTCTTGCTAAGGAGCATCAGTGGGGGACAAGCCTGAAGCACCGTTTATCTGCTTATCTCCTCACACCTTTCAGCCCTGGAACCTTGGTTGAGAATCACTGTCCTATATGTTATTGATAACAATTTTTTTATTTAAATCTCCTTTCGTTTTCAATAAACTTCTATTTTAAAGGAATGAGTCCCTGAAAGACCTTGTATTAGTAGAAGTCTAGAGACAGGTTCTGATTTTGCAAAGATTCATGCATTTGATACACTTTGTGCACTATGTGTAGTCTCTGAATTCTGACCTCACAGAAGCCTATTTGAAGTTGGCCACCGACTGCAGCCAGGATTTCAGTCTGTGTGGTTAAACAGCTATGCAAATCTTTTCTGAATCAGTGCCACTGTTTAATCCCCTATAACAGAGGTATCAAACATATGGCCTGCATGCTGCATCTGGCCTGTAGAGCTGTATGATCCAGCCTGTGGTTGCTGGACCAACACCACATGTTGCCCCAGGCCCCGTGTGCTGCACGTGGTGCACAGGTAGAACTCAGAGCTGCACACCCTGCACACAGTACAGGGGACCAGCATGGGACATGTATTGCATGCAGCAGCCTGCTAGATTGGCTTAGTATGCTGGCTCTGGGGATGGTTTGGATGGGGCCATGCCAGAACCAGTGCACAGGGCCAATTGGGTAGGGAGCTGCAAGCAGCATGTACCCTGTGCTGGCCCCTGTGTAGTGTGCAGCACATACAGTCAGTCCAGCCCTGTGTGCCATGTGCAGCACACGCCAGCCCCAGAACTGGCTGTGCATATGGGGCCAGCATGAGGTTTGTGCTGCCCACAGCAAACAGGCTGGACCCAGCACTGAAGATGGCACAGGCAGTTCTGGGCATGGGCTGCATACAATATCCTGAACTGACCCCTATCCTGCCTGCCAGGTGAGCCTGACACCCTGCCTTATCACATGAATATATCTAGCAGAACCCTGATTCTTTCAGAGCTAGTAGAACAAATTCATCCTTTCAATGGCTTGCATAATATTAGAGACTTTTATAAAATCTACACAATATTCTTTATGATCTGTTGAAATGACATCTTAGACTCAAAATCTTTTTCCACCCTTTTTTTTGTCTCAGCTTTGCAGGACCTTACTTCAACTCTGCACACAAGTACTTACACAGACAGCTTGCTTTCCTGAATTGCAAGGCTGGGTTATTTCCCCCCCAGTACCTAACGATATTAGTTTCTATCATGTACTAGGATTAAGAAATGTCAGGTAAAATTCAGCTGTTTTGAATTTCTAGTGAAAAAAGCACTCTGGAATTACAATTGCTTTGTACTCCATAGCATAATTCCACATTTAAAATTGGCTAGATGTATATTTTTCTAATTTAGAGTAAAAAGAAGCTAGGGCCAACTATGTCAGTATTGAGCAAATATATTGTTAATTATACTATAAACTGCTGAATAATAAATTTTACAATATTCAATCACATCATTGCAGAAGTACTAACTGAATCTTGTACTGAAGAAAAACTATCAATTTGAAAACTACATCATCAACTAAATGGGAGAATGTATGCATAAGTAATAGCTTAAATGAGTACACCAGAATGAAGAAAACTGTCCCTCTCCTTTTAATGTTTGGTTGGTACATCTGACAGCAATTTATAATAGTTTTGTTGATTTATAGTACTTTTGTTGAGCATACTGACCCACTTGCTCCTGTACAGCTCCCAAAGGGAGCTCACATGCATTCTCTTATAGGACTGCAAAGGGACATAAGTAATAGAAAAACCAAAAATGAAGAGTCAGTAACCAAAACTGTATGCAGAACCTAAGTACAAATGTTCAAAAAGCCCCTGGCCAGAAGCACTCTATCACGCTTTACTTAAAGTACTGTAAGTTAGAGCAAGACCAACTGAACAGATATTCAGGCTCGGAGCCTGCCTTCACTGGTCAAGGTCAGCAGCCTGGGGGTGCTCTTGCACACCTCCCAGGAGGCTGCTGTACCCATCTCCAAAGCCCCACCCCCTCACCAGCAGGTGACTGTCATCAGTGGCTTGGGGAGAGGGAGCCCCTATGCCACACAGTGCCCCCCCCCAGATTGCTGTGTTGGGTCTGGGAAGCCAGGCCAGGTCTGCATGGCCCAGCCATTTGACAACTGCAGCCAGGAGCTTAAGCATGGGGCTGCCTGCCCCTCTTTTCACTGAACTGGGAACTGGGGGTGGGGGAAGGGAGCCCTTATGATACATGGGACACACCCAGATTGCTGGGTTAGGTGTTGTGGGGGGCAGACGGGACTGCACTGGGTCTGCATGGCAAGAGGCTGCCTGGTTCAACTTTTTGCTACAGCAGGAACTTCGGGTGAGGGAAGGGAGCCCTCCTACTGCATGGAACTGCCCCCCCCCCACTAGACCTGGAACAGCAATCTTGTGGGGAAGGGGGCACATGGCACAGGGCTGCCTTCTACCTCACCCCAGCCTGTTCACAGCTGAAGCCAGGAACTGCAGCATCGGGCTGCCTGGCATCACTAGGAACTGGCAGTGGGGGAAGGGAGCCCCCCTGTTCTGCAGACCTGGCCCACCCCCACCCAACCTAAGAACTGGGGGCAGGAAGAGCTGTTGGCATGGGGGGTCTCTTCCCCCACCCCCATCTATCTGTCCAGAGAGGAGATAGCCTTTTCTGTGACAGCCTGGGGGAGGACCTGGAGAAGATGAACAACAGCTAAGGTTAGCAAGCTGCCCAGAAAGGGGCCCCTGAGATGCTGGGGGAATGTGACCTACCTTGACTCCCAATGGGATGTTGTAGAAACATTCGATAAAGCACTCTAACCTAAAGGACTTTAGTCTGAAATCCATCATTTTTAAAGCACTTTATGTGCAGTAAACAATTGTTCTGTTAGAGCTGTAAAGCACCTTCTGCCTGCTTAACGCATAATAAGTGTAACATCTACACTTAGCCAGAGAGAGAACAGGGAGGGAAAGGTAAACCCAAATAACACTGGTAGCATTGTAATGGATTAAAGGAACAGTTTTGTAATGGACTAAAGAAAAATCATAATTTTTACCTGAGAAATACACAAGATTTTCCAAAGGCCAATTTATTAGGATCACTTTAGCTCTTCTTTACTCTTACTTCCTAAAACTAGAAAGTGTCTCTTGTAGGCTAGTACACACAGAACTAATACTGAATACTTTATCTTAAATATCTTTCGGGCCAAAGATAATCTCTAAGGGATCTCTAATCCAAATATTTTTATTCCAACAACTATACAGCTGTAATATGCAGGTACACATACATATGACTGTTTCTGCAAAGTTAAACATCTACATTGTGCTATCACAGAAAAGTGATCAAAAATATAATTTTAAAACTTGTGTCAGAATTAATTTTACTAAAAAAATGGAGATCTAACTTTATACTACTTTAATATTCATAGATATGTTTCTATACTATTTAATAGGTTATACTTTGACATTATAATTGTAGTAGTTTAAAGATCTTCAGGCTCTGCTTTGAATAATATAAAAACCTAGGGGAGGAAGGATCATAAATGTAATATATTACAGGATGGGAGTAAAGACCTTAGTTAGACCTTTCTACAGCAAATTCCCGGTAAACCAATGGGCATTTTGTCTAAGGAGATACTTTAGGATTGGTCACCATATGCATTACACTACATTAAACTTACACTATATACTTGCTTCCAAAAGTCTGCGCTCAATATATATTGAAATGTATTGCTCACTAAAGTAAATATTGACAGTAATCAGACATTAGTTTCTTTAAATCCACTTTCTGGTACTGGACAGTAGTTTATATCAAACTGCTTCTTCTTTTGAATTCCTTTCCCTCCACAAAACAACCCAGAACATTAAAAAAAGATTAAAATTAAAAAGTTCAAAAGATTAGTATCAATCAAACGTCGCCCCTGTTTTTTCTATCCTCAAACTGAAATGAAATATTTTAATCCTGAGAACAGACAAATATATAAACAAGCATTTTCAGGTGTGTAAAGAAAACTGAAGGACATAAATTATTTTTGTACAGTACTAAAATAAATCAAACTACATTAAATTATGAATATATTCCTTTCAGGTATATTCTGTAACACTATGCTCTTTACTTACCCATAGTTTTCATCTGTACCATTGACTACATGATCTGCCCATGAACTTGCACCATTGTAACACCTTTACAATGCAGTTAAAATAAAGAGGTGTTATAAAAATATATTAATAACACTATAATTCATATGACATATCCACTACTCACTAATCTGGAATTTTTCATATGTTTTTAATACATTTGCCAAAAGAAAAATTGACCCCTTTTTTGAAAATGGTTATGTATATTTTTTCCTAATTTAATACTCAACTTATTTCAGTAAATCAACTCTATTATTTTCAACAGTTATCTTGACTATCAACTTGTACTCTTTAGGAATGTCCCTAATTTTTCCCCATACAAAACTGCCTACAATTTATGCTCTTTGTGTGGAATAATACTATTCCTAATTAACTTGAAATCTATATACAGCATACCATATACACTATAAAGCAACACATTACGTTATGTACTAAAAGTTCCTCTATATATTAAAGCAAACACTTTAAAAACTTTTTTTTATTTTTTCTATTTAGTATTTCCTGTGGTTTATTATATTTGTTTATTTTTCAGGCAGAGGGGAGATTGTATTCAGTTCAATTTGAACAATAAAATATAAATCAACGAAACTTCCTATTAATATTATTCTATGCAATATTTTATTAGCTATATAGTCGAAACATTTGTAACATGATTTTAGCAAAATTAGTTAAAGACAACATCATGGATGCATCCACACATGCAAGCAGGTGTACTTGCAGCAGGTCAAGTACCAGCGGCACAAATTTGTGCCAGAGATTTTGTGCCTCAGCACATGTGTCTGAACATGCACTTTGGTATGGAGCAAGTTGTGCCACTTGGGGCAAACTGACCCTGCCTAACTGACCCTCTTCCTGGATATTCAGCTGGGGGAGCTAGAGCTAGAGGCTGGGACCAGCACCTATGCTGGCCCCAGCAGTATAAAAAGCTTCCCTGACAAGCAACTCAGGACGACTTGCCTTCAGGAGCTTCTAAGGCCCAGCCAGTTGGTACCTGGGGACACTAGCCCCTTGTGCCAGCTGGACTGCTGAAACAGCCCTAACCTGCTGCCTCTGCACCCTCTACTCACTGCAGCAGTCTAGCAGTAGGAGCTGCTTCCTGGTTTGTGACCTGCTGCCACTTGCAACAGCATGAGGACCCTTGGACCTGTGGTCCCATAGCTGCACACCTGCCAGACCCAGACAGGGACTGCACGACCACCTGGGCTGTGATATAGGCACTTCTGCAGAGCTGCCTACACAGCTGGGCCAGCTGCCAATGGGCCAGGGGTGGACATCTGGCCTTTAAGCAGCACTGCTATCATGTCTTCTGGTGTCCCCACTCTGCCATCTGGGCAGCTGTCGCCCAGAAGATGTGCTCATTGTTGTGGCCAGATTTGAACTGATCCCCAAACAGCCAAGAGATCAGCCACCTCATCTGCCCTCCAGCTGGGTCCCTGGTGCTGGCCCTGGACAGGCTCCTCTGCCTGGATCCCACCACTGGACTCACCAACAGGGATCCTGGTGTTTCCTGTTTAAAAATTATTAATTCTCTGACAAACCCCAAATTCTCTCATTATCCCAAAATCCATGTTCCAATTTGGAAGCCTACCAGTGCCTCTGTCATCATAATAAAATAAATTCTAAATATCTATACACTTTGGCATTTGCTTTTGGTTTGTTTTTTTTATCATAGAAAAATCAGAGCTGCCCCTGCCCCCTTCACTCATTAGGATGTGGAGCTAGCTGCAGCTGGACCCACAGCTGCTTTGTGGCACTGAGCAGCACTGATATGCTGGTGCCCTGCCCCTGCCCATACCCTTGCCTCTCACTTCCAACCCACAGCCCTGCCAGTGCCCCTCACTCCTGACCCCACTCTCTCATTCCCAGCAGCAGCTCCATCCCAGCACCACAACACAGGTCCAGGTGCAGCAGTCCTACCCACTGCTTTGTAGCTCTAAGCAGTGCCAGCCCTTACTGTTCTGCTCCCTGTGCCTATGCCAACGTCCCAGTGATCCCAGTGCTGGGTCTGGGAAGCCCTCAACTGGAGCTTAGGGGCTGGGCTGGGCAAGCCCCTTCCCTTCCAGGCCAGCTTCCCTCTGCAAAGGCTGCTCTACAGTGTCTCCAAGCCCAGCTCTAGCAGCCTCTCCTACCTGGAGCTCTCTCCCATCCCCTACCCCCATCTCTCTCTCTCTCTTTCACACACACCCCTGCTGCCACCCCTGGCCCATCATATATACCCATAGACCCTGCTGCAACCTCAGTTACCCCCCTGCCCATCACCACACAAGCCCCCCCACCAAACCTCACACCCATCCTCCTGCTGCCACCTCCATCCTTCCCCCCAGCTCACCACACACCCCCAAGTGGTTCCTGGGACCAGAAGTCCCCCCAGGCCAGGGCTGCATGTCTCAGCACTGGTGTAGGCAAAATGTAGGGGTGCAGTGTGGCAGTTGCCCCTACAGCCATGGCTCCTGCCAGCAGGTCCCATTCCATTTGGTGACTGGGCATGCAGGGTGTGAGATTTGTGGTGGGATGTGGAAGGCTAGGTGTGGGGTTTGTGGGGGGTTGGGGGAATTGTAGGTGGGTGTAGGAGTGGGTGTGGGGTTTGTGGAGGTTAGGGAGGTTTGGGGGTAGGTGTAGGTGTTGGGCTTGTGGGATTGTGTGTAGGGGGTTATGTGGAGTTTGTGGGTGGATTGTGGGGGGTTCATGGGTGTGGGGTTTATGGGTGGGTATGTAGGTGGGGTAGGGGTTTGTGCAGGTGGTTTGTAGGCATGGGGTTTGTGGGTGGATAGTGCAGGCTTTATGGGGAACTGTGTGAGGGTGGGGGTAATTTGTGGGACAGGTAGATCCCCCCACCCACCACCTCACGGCACACAGCCCCTGCTGCAGCAGCCAGCAATGCGTCCTTGCGGCACTCATGGCCCACTGCAGGCAGAGCCCCCAGAAGAGCATGGCACTGCTTGAGAACTGGGGGTTACACATGGCAGCCAGAGCTGGCCTGGTTCACTGGCATGCACCTTCAATCAGAACCAGGCCTGCCTCCACATGGTAGGCAAGTGTAGGCAGCAGCTAGCCCGGCCCGATGGTGTGCAGATCCTGCCTGCAGTGCCAGGAGCCCTGGGTGGTGGAAGAAGCTGACCCAGTTCTGCTTGAAGTCATGCACCAGCGAACTGGGCTGGCTGTGCACATGTAGTCCCTAGGTCTCAGGCAGTGCTACATACCGCCAAGGGACTCTGCCTGCAGTGGGCCATCAGCATCCAAAGGGCCCACTGTTGGCTGCTGCGGTTGCTGCAGTGGGTGCTGTGCACCATGCGGGGGGCAGATGGGGGACCCACCCCTCCCACACAGTCCCCCCATCCCAATACAGTCCCCCTACCCATACACAGTCATCCCCCCACCCCCACATCCCTGCTTACCAGGGACAGAGCCTGTGTCCCAGCCATGCCCCACTTCTATTTCCTTCAGCATGCTGAAGCAGTGTGCTGGAGAAGCAGGGGCATGTGGCAAGCATAAAGATACACTTGCTGGGTGCTAAACCATTTCTATGGAGAACCCAGCCTCCAGTTGCTTTGAGGCAAGCTCCAGCAGCATGCCCTGTGCCATTTTTTTTCAGCATGTTTTATTTTGATACCGGGATTTCCCAAATTTCCCAGTATCAAACTTAGATTCTGTACAGCATATCTGCAGCTCAGGAAACATTTTTTTTTGTTCAAGGCATGCCTCCTGTGGTGTCTCAACCTGCTTTGAGATGCCACAATAGACACCTACTCACTCATATGGATATGGCCCATGAAGTATTCAAATTACTTCATTTGATATATGGAAATGGCAAGAGGAAAAGAGATGTGGAGCAAATGTGACCGCTGAATGAAACATTTGTCATTCTTCCAGAAACCCCATGATAACTGCCTTATCATGTATTATTCTACATCTCTGGGAACGCATTTAAATCATAGAACTGAGTTACAGAGATGGTGATATTGACTCAAATATAATAATATCTGGAGTGATAGATTTACTATAACCCGTTTGCAACTAATACTCCACTGGTTTAACTGATCAATGATCTCCTCAAGACAGTGGATGTGAACCAAGGCTGAGATTCACAGATTGTTCTGAATTTAAATAAGCACTATTTGAAGTGCCCTTTTAATCTAGATACCATGATCTTATCCAATTCAAAATTTTGTTATATGGTAAGTATACTTAGTCTGTAAGTATTCTAAATACTATGTCTTATCTATTTCTATTATATAAATGAAATACCTTTCTGGAGTATGAGTAGTGTCGTCATAATATGTATTAGGCACTCTTCTCTCCTGCCTAGTCCTCCTGAATATGAAATAAACAGCACAAATATTTTAGACATTTGAATACTTCCTGCCTTACTCTGATTCTCCTCACTGCATTATAACCATACTGATGTACATATTGTACATAATATGATTCATGTACGGCAATATCTACCAAAACAAATATTAATAGCTAAATTCATTAAAAATACATTTTTACATTCAAATAGTGCTCTGCCATAATGTATTCAGGACTTGTGACACATTCAAATATGTTTTTTAGCAGGCCAGAGTCATATGAGAATGTATGTGCATTTAAGTGAGGAATTCAGGAAATTTTAGAAAAATTAGGGGATGGACTTTGAGAAATCCCTGATTGGTAACATCAATCAAAATCTTGTATATTCTTAAGTGCAATGCAAGAGAACATCAAATGACATTAAAGCACAATCCTTTTGATGTAAAGAAAGGAAGATAATAAGAGGAACATAGAGGCAAATTAAAAGAATAAAGAATTATGTAGTGTCCTCAGAAATTGAGCGGGGCTTTGAGATGGCAAATGAGAAAAGAAACTCAGTCCAAAAAGACTTTGATAGAGTGTAAGTAGTGAGCACTGGTATACTAGATTAATGGAATCATTTCATGTTCCAATATATTTGTGTTAGAACATTTGTCCTGTTCTCTAATTGTGAGCATATCCAACTGTCAGTGCAATTAAATGGGGTGTTTGTGGAGATATGTCCTGAGGTCTGAACCTAAATAATTGTACTGAACTTGTGAATTGGGAGAGGTAAATATAAGAGAGAAGCAGCCAAATGATTGGCCAACATTTAAAAAAAAGACAAGACAATGAAAAGGAAATGGTGCTCTGTAAGTAAGGGTAACTGAAATTATGCCTAAAATGAGTTGGGTATGAGCACTACCATATTGGCAATTGGTACTACCATGTTTGCTACTACAGTAAACAAGGCCAAGTAGAATTTGAGTAGGTTACTGGAAACCAAGGGGTTCTTTAGTTTGCACAGTATATTTATAAGAACAGGCTCCAAGCAAAAGCCATTCCACAGTAGTAGCAAACTGTACAAAGAAAAGCTGTGAAATGGTCTAAAGGCAGTCTGTTATTAGACTTTTTATGAGCACAAGGGGTACACATACAGGAAATTCAAACAAATTCCTACTCTGGAAAGGAAGTTCAATGACACTTAAATGACCAAAAGATAAATAGAGAGCAAATGGAATGACAGGAGAGATATAGGAAGCTGGAAATCTGGATGGCTTGGAGACATAAGATGGAATAAAGCTGAAGGATACAGTGTCTAGGAAGACTAGAAGCCAAAGGAAGAGCAGTATGAAGAAAATGCATGCAGCTATCCAAGACTGATGCTCCCAACAGGTATTCCAGCTCAACAAAAAAGAAGATCCCAAGAAGGAGACTGATGAAGGTACGTGGCTGAATGAGGGAAAGACACTAACTCAGAAACGGTAACATCAAAAAGAAAGCAGCAGCAAGTAATACATTAAGGAATGTAGAATCTTTTTATCAAGATGAAAATACATCTTTGGTCAAGATGAAAAAGATAGGACTTTTTCTTAAGTTGTAATACAAGGAATATTACAAAATGATGCTTGTTATCCTGATAAATAGTATAAAATCTGCAAACATCATCGTGTGTAATACAAATGACATCTGTGAAAGAACATTTAATATAATCCTGCAAGATTTCATGGACCTAGGAAAGGAATTGAATTTGGGGTTATGTAGGTGACCTTTTTAGATAAACCATGTTAGGTAAAAGGAGGTAGAAAGTGGTCAGGAAAAAACCAAAAAAGAGAAGACTGAGCTAGTAAAATTTGGCATAACTCCATTTTTTAGCTACACTGATTTACCCCTTCTAATTTGTCCTGAAATCTGAATCAGGAAAATACCTTTTTACTCTTATGTAAAAATTAAGTATGTAGCTACACATATGAATTGGCTGATTTCATCTCATGTTTTCAAAAGTACTTTACACAATGATTTTGCTTGAATTATTTTCTTTAATTTTGCCATATTCACTTAAAGAGATCTGACTGTATTAAAAGTACATGACTATTATTCAGAAGATATGAAATCAGATACTCAGTAGGTATAGCTCAGCATAGTTCCACTAGCACAAATGAAGCTAGCACATTTTTTGGCACCTAAAAATTTGGCCCCAGGAATATACAGCTTTCATAGAGAACTGTTCTGATACCTCAGACAACTTGGACACAATGTTGCTCTAGGCCTCTGTTTCCTCATCTCTAAACTGTTAATAGCCATGTTTACCTTCCAGTGGAGGAACGTGAGGACCAGTTAATACCTGTAAGCAGCCCTGAAGTCTTCAGATAAAAAATGCTTTAGAGATTTTAATTTATTCCTACTATTTTTGTCACCCTTCCAGTTACGTACTGATGACTGAGGTACCTTTTGATTTTTCTATGCAATTTGGATATTATGCTAAATTACTGTTTCTGTTACTTCCTGAATGAATTTGAGTGACTCTCCCTCTTATCATTCTCATCTAAACTACTAAAAAGCACGGCTTTTTTCAGGTTAAATCTCAGAATTATACCCATAAAGCAACTTAACTTCAACAGAAATATTCTTCCTGAGTTTAAAAGGAAGCAAGTTTAAAAGGTTTCAAGACTTTGACATTATAGCCGATTGCTATGTCAAGGTTTGACATTATAGCCAATTGCTTTAGCACTGATCAACAACCTTTTCAGGCTGTAGGACAGAATGACCAGCTTAGGTCAAAGAGGATAGGATGGTACTAGGACCCAGCTGCCATTCCTTCTCCCCACCACAGCACCATAGAGATGCCTGTCTCTGAATATGCAGAAGTCCCACACCCATGGACCAGATTCAATGGCTTCATGGGTCAGATCCAGCCTGCAGGATGTAGGTTGCCAACCCCTGCTTATGGGGAAGAGTCCTGTGGGACTGAAAGTTCTTGTTACCATTTTGCTTTTGTCTCTGAAACCAGCTTTACTCCCACTTAAACTGCTTTTATTCTGTTTTATTATAAATTGAAACTTTAAAAAAAAATCTGTGGGGATTTGTTCCTAAATCCTGTGAGGATTTGTTCCTAAATTTTAAAACAACACAGCTGTTTTAGACTGTCCCTGGAGCTCTTAACCCCTGGATTATGCTGCACATAAATACCTTTAAATGTCTTAAAGCACCTATTATGATGCTCAAAGTTACGTCATTCCAAGGCAGGATTATCTCTGATCTGCATAACCTTGTTCCTGTTCCATTAATATGTAGCCACTCCCCACAGCTGTGCTGCCCAAGCTGAAGTCCTCCAGTATCCCAGGATGCTGTGGCCCCTCCCCCACATATTGTTTCTGCATGCAGCTGAAGATAGTGACAGTCTGAAGCAGGTCAGGGTCAGTGGGGAGTAAAGGGGAGGGAGGGTGAGGCATGGAAATCTGGAGCCAATGCACTAAGATGCTACTGCAGGGCAGATAGAGTGTGGCCCAACATTAGAGAAAGAGGAAAGGTACATGAGGCGGTGTTGAGGATGCAGATGGTGCTGCAGAACGAGTCTCTGGTATAGGCTCTGCTGCCCAGCATGGCTCCATTGCTGCCTGTCCCAGGAGCACTGCATGGTGCCACCCTGCAGGTTTCCTCGCACAGCACCATGCCATGACTGATAGAAGAATTTAACAGCCCCAGTGGCAGCAGGGGAGAGGAGGAGATGTAAGTAGAGTTGGAGTAGGGGGAAGGAGTAGGGGAAGGTGCTGCCTCATCATGGTGAGCCACGAGCCCATGCCCATGACAGGCTCCAATGGAGACAGGTAACATGGACAATTACATGTTCCCGCCCCTCCCCACAACCTCTCTCTCACATCCCTGCCCATAGAGCAGGGATAAAATCCTGTCCTGGTTCACCAGCCCTCTAGTGAAAAGTCACAGCTGTGTCGGTGGGAAACAAAAGTTTTTAGCCTTAATGTGTGACTGCACCAAACTCCAAGCTAGCACTAAGCCAATCAACATTTGTGCAGCATATTTTATATAAGCTATTATTGACTAAACTTCCCTCTGCATGAGCTTCCTTGTTTGTAAATAGGGACAATGATGGGACTTGTGAAACTAAATTTATTAATGCATGTCAGGGACTTAGCAACTAGAGAATGATCATTACACAAATACCTATAACAAAATATTCATTACTCTATAAGTATTCAAATGAACCTCTACCAGAATTTATCAGCTAAGCAGAGTGGAATTTTCAAAAGACTTAGAATTGACCAAACTCCAATTACTTTGAAGTCCATGGAAATTTTACCATTGATTCCAAAAAGAGAAGAGTTAGGGCCAACAATGCACACTTTTGAAAAACCCTAACAAAATGTAGAAGCTATAAGAAAAATCCATATATTCATTGATATAACCTACTTTCTGAACTTGGTTGTTTTTTGTTAGCAAATCTTTTACTTTCTCTTAAAATTTAAAGCTGCAATTATTAGCTCTGCATAATCACTCTTAAATTAACATATTTACCAAGTAATCACAATAAATTATACAGTATTTTTATTGTACAGGTTTAATGCATAAAGCATATATTGCTTCATTCTGAACCTGAATGATTAAACTGTAAGTGGGAGGATAAATAAAGTACTCTGCACCAATTATACCTCTCAAGATCATAGTAAGCACCCTCAGAATAGGTACGGCACATCTTACGGGAACGAAGTAATCTGATTGCATCTTCACAAAAGAGAGGATATATAGTATGATCCTTGCTGCCAAAACATAAATAGTAAACACAATGAAAAGCAACACAAAGATGAAATGAGGGCAGACACACATGAAAAGTAGGAAACTTTAGAAAGGGGTTAACAGAAACAGAACTCAACCAATATAAAACAGAAGGAGAAGTAAGAGTATTGATGAATTTGGTAAAATCACAAGGAAAAACATGAAGATAAATTAACCTGCAGGTAAAAATATAATGATCATGCTTTGGAATTGTCTTTTATTAATGTCTCATACTGTTTAAGAAAGAACTGCATATGACATCTGCAATTCCATTAGATACTGAGGCTGGTTGATTTTATATAATTTTAATGGACTCCTTCAAGACACAATGGAAACAGTACAATATAGTGTCATTTTTATTTTACCACGTATGGACTTGGAAAACTAAAACATGTAAAGAATAAAACCTTAGTATCCAAATATCTACCACTTGATAGTACATATGTTTTTTTTTAAATTATATTTCTTATTTTGATACTAAATTCAGTGCTTCTTACTTTTATCTTCTAGCACTATACAATGATTTTTAAAGAGCAAGGAGAAATGTAGGTACACACAGGTACATGCAGCATTTATCCACAGAGTCACACAGAAAAAATATATACCTGGCATCTCTGTGTTGGTGGTCAGTGGACTGAGTATATCGGGACCGAGGTAGAGTGAGATAGTGACTGAAAGCATGGCAGAAACAAAAATATAAATGAGACAATACAATGAAGATGGAATAATGCATAGAGAAAATAAACAAATGTTAGAAAGCATGAGAACAGAGCAGCTTTAAACAAATTGCCTAGAAATACTGAAATAATTACTGAAATGGCAAATTTGAAACAAAGTAACAAAAATCAAAATTAAGTAAAATACTTGCACATTTTATTATATGAACATGTTAATAGCATGTTACCCCTTTTGACCTGAGTAGCTACTAAAATTCAGAGTGTAGTAAATTATTCCAAGTAGGAGGGGAAACTGGTAACTAAATCAGCTATTTATCACAGAAATCACAGAAATGTGTCTGGAGGGAAACTCAGTTCCCCACTCTGAAACAGGATTAGCTATACCTAGAATAACTCTGACAGATGTTTGTCTAATCAGTTCTTAAACATCTCCATTGCTAGGCATTCAACAGCTTCTGTTCCTAACCTAATTCAGAGTTTAATTATATTTAAATAAGAATCCTCGGTTCCTTCAAACTTCCATTACAGGTCATGTTTTCTAAGCCTCTTTTGATTCTTGTTGTTCTCACTTTGGACTCTTTCCAATTTTTACATCTTTCTTAATATGTGGTGCTCAACTGGGCAGATTTTTCCAGCTGAGGCCACGTTAGAGTCAAGCAGAGCAGAATAATTATCTTCAAGACCCTATATATGGCCTACCTATTAACACATTGCAGCACTGCATTGCTGACCTATATTTAGGACATGATTCACTATAAATCCAAGGTCCTATTTTGCAGTACTAATACCTAGGTGCTTATTTATCATTTTGAATGTGATCATTTGATGTTACTTCCTAAGAGTAATTCTTTACTGTTATATTATTGAATTTCATCTTATTACTCAGGAGCAATGCTCCATGGGAGCACCAATGACTTGGCTGACACATACTCTTAAATGAAGTCCACCAGTGAAAACTACCATTTTCACCAAGGTTTATGTATAGCAATATTTGGAGAAAACAAAGGTATTCACATACTAATTAGCCCCCCACCCCCAATGGTTGGAACCAGGTGTTCTTGTCACAAGTCCTGGGATCCTTCAAAAATTTATACGCAGATGAGGCCCAGGGCATCCTGGTTTGGCTTCACCTCACAGATGGTGGGGCCACATTAATCATATGTGACAGGCTGAGAGGGGGAGGGAGGGTGACCAAGGAATTCTGGGTGAATAGTTTGGGTCCCTATTTGATGATGTTTGCCAAACCTTTAGGGCTAGTTAAAAAACAGGACTCACTGGAAATGGGAAAGAAAGTTACAGATCAGCTGTGGGAATGAAGGGGAAGTTGATCAATAAGAGAATAAGAGCCTTCTCAATAAGAGAAGGCTGAGGGGGGATCTTGTGGCCTGTTATAAACTGGTTAGGGGGGATCAGCAGGCACTGGGGGAGTCCCTGTTCCCCCAAGCGCCGCAAGGAGTGACCAGGAACAATGGTCACAAGCTGGCGGAGGGAAGGTTTAAGTTGGACATCAGGAGGCGCTACTTCACGGTCAGGGCGGCTAGGGTCTGGAACCAGCTTCCAAGTGAGGTGGTGCAGGCTCCCACCCTGGGGGTTTTTAAGAGGAGGTTGGATGACCACCTTACTGGGGTTATTTGACCCCAGTGCTCTTCCTGCCATGGCGGGGGGTCGAACTAGATGATCTGCTCAGGTCCCTTCTGACCCTAGAAACTATGAAACGTATTCAATGTAGTGGCTCATCATGACTTGAAATAGAGTCAGTGCTGAGGGAGGCCAAGTGTAATGGGCATTACCGTATATCTTATTCAGATGGGTTATATTAACCTATCCTTGGGGTTGGTTCCCATTATTATGTTTGCCCCATATGGGTTATATGTTTTATAGTCACGCTCAGCATAGGCTGCATTTAATTAACTTCATAGTTGATTTCCATTACTGAGCACATGCTGATTTTGGCATCAGTTTAATGACAAACAAGGTATTTTGAGAGTTTCCTGTGTAGATGAACATAAATCGAGGGGCTTTTTCCCCCATATTGTTTAGGGGGGAAAACCTCATCTTACATCCAAGTAAATACAGTAAGTCATGGTGAGTGGGGGCGGGATTAGCAGTTCTGCAGGTATTAGCAGGTCACGGTTGGCTGGCAAGTTCATAGGTTGGTCAGTGAGTCTGTGGAAGCAGGTGGGTTTTTCTGCGCCGTATATGTGTTCAGTGATTGGCCAAAGGTTAGATCAATCTATGTAGATCACCTCATAAGTGAACTAAAGTTAAATTGGGCCAGGCATTTTTTTGCCCAGTCTCACATTCCAGAACATCTGTACTGTTCAGTACTTAGATTAACCTAACCCCTAGACAGGTCAATCTGAGAGCAAATACATGTGCTATTAATGTGATATAAGTTTACCACACAGTAACATATTGCTCAGTAAGTCTTCCTCAGGAGCGCATCTACATGTGCACCATGTTAGAAGCAAGCCTACTCCCAATGGGAGCAGCCCAATACAGGGCTGCTCCTGCCCTGCTCTGCCCCACTGCAGCATCCAGGAGGAGCTCCAGGCTACCCAGGTTTCTGGCCTGGTGGCTGGCAGGGGGCACAGATGTGATCCCAATGTGTACTGGGGCCAGAAGAGCTCTGCTGGCTGCAGTGGCAGCTGTCTCCTGACCCTGTGAATATTGGGAGGGGTCTTCTGGCCCTGTGCACACTGGGACAGTTACCCCTGAAACTGGCAGAGCTCTCCTGGCCGCGTGCACTTTGAGACACACAGCTGCCAGCAAGCCCCATGCCCAGTGGGGCTTCCCCAGCCAGCTGGGGGATTGATAGCAGCTTCCTCACAAATGAGACAGCTGCCAGTGAGCCCCTAGCTGAGCAGAAAAGCAGAGAGCTCTCCAGTCCCAGTGCTGCTTGGCTGTTGGTTCCTGTTGGGAGCTGGGAACTGTGCAGCACTGGGATGGGGGGTGGGCACAGAACTACTCCATCCCATCACTGATCAACACCAGCTCCTATGGAGAGCCAAGAGCTGAGCAGTATCAGAACCAGGGACAGAGAACTCCCTTGTGGTCCCCTGCTGGTGTGGCTCAGCAGGAGCAAGTTTGCTCCCAGGGAGCATCTACATGGACACTACTGGACAGGTCTACACAAGATGCTAACTGTACAGCAGCCTAATAACATTGTGCAGTAGTGTGCCGGGCAAAAATCTGTGCTAATACACTACTGCACAGTAGTGTCACTAAAATCCTGTGTGCTGGCACTACTGTGCAGTAGCGTGAGTTACTACACCTTTAATACCTGGTTAACCAAATACTAAAATTAATGCGCAGTAACTGCAATGCATTAATGAACGTGTTGTGTTGATGTGCCCACTGTGCAGTAACTACTGCACAGTTAATCTAGTACCTGTATTTACAGGTTTTAGCTAATTGCACAGTAGACAAATTTACTGCACAATAAATGCCACACACGTGTAGACATTAGTCTACTGCACAGTAAAGTGACTCATGTAGACATGCCCTCTAAGTGTAAGATCCACATGTGTGGCTGCATTTACACGAGATGCTGACTGCTCAGTCATTACTGTGCAGTCATTTAGTACTTATATAAACAAGTATTACAGGACTAGGCAGTAACCCAAGTTACTGTGCAGTAGTATCGATGAAAAAATGGCTTCTTCGTGATGCTGACTGTGCACTAGCCCAAGACTACTACATGGTAGTATCAAATCATGGTTGCTGCCACACAACACTACTGCTCAATCAGTGTCTAGTATAGATGTGGCCTGTGTGAAGTAAGTTAGATCAGACCTGATCTACCCTCCCAAACTTGTGTATGGTTTAGCACTTTAAATCTAATCCTACTTAAATACATTTAAGTGTAACTTCTGTACATAAATTTAAGTGTAACATCTATGCCCTAAAGATTTTTTTAAAAAGGTAGACACATATCCAATAACACTTAAATTTTACTGAATAAAATACGATATTAAGGTGTCTTATTCATCTGGAGACTGAGAAACAGGCAGGAAAAGAAATGTTGGGGTCTACGAGATCCTATACATGTGCAGGGAGGCTATTCCAATGCACTGTAATTATAGCACATTGGAGCAAACTCAACTAATTGACTTGGCTGGAGCATGGTAATTACCATTCTCCAGCAGACTCCAGTGTCATGTGTATCAGCATCCCCATACTGAAAAATGGTGGCAGGGTGCTTTAAACTAAAGCTTTTTCAATGAGCTTTAGTTCAAAGTGCCCTGCCACCATTTTTTCAGCATAGGGACACTGATACACATGATGCTCCTGGCACTTTTAATTAGCGTGGATCTCAGAGCTACACTAATTTAAAATGCCCCCTCTGCCTCCTGAACCACATCTATAAACACCCTAAGATATTGTGTGCTCTGGTCCTCCTAAGTGTTTCATTCCTTAAGTGTTTTTGGAGCTAGACTGTTTTTGGTGGTGGCAGATGACAGAACAAGAAGCAATGGTCTCAAGTTGCAGCAGGGGAACTTTAGGTTAGATATTAGGAAGAATTTTCTCACTAGGAGGGCAGTAAAACACTAGAACAGGTTATCCAGAAAGGTGGTGGAAGCTCCATCCTTGGAGGTTTTCAAAACCCGACTACACAAAGCTTTGGCTGCGATGATCTAGTTGGAGCTGGCCCTGCTTTGAGCAGGGGGTTGGACTAGATGACTTCCTGAGGTCCCTTCCAACCCTAATTTACAATGATTCTATGACCTTTATGACCATTAACAATCAAGAAAATAAGCTTTTACTGTATTCCCTGTTAGTGGCAACTGATTATGTAGTGAGATCCCAAATAACTGAATTTCATGGGATTTTACCTAGGGATGAAAATTTCAGAGATTGTTACTACTGTTCTGCAATGGAGAAAATTAGCCATTTTTTAACAATCTGAGACAAATGTTCCAAAGAAAAGTACACTAACGAACAATGACAAAACCCATAATACATTATTATCCTATCATTAAACTTTTACAAAC